AACACATTTGATGACGATAATTCCATGCGTTAGGGGAAGATAAAACATACACTTAAACTAATACCGAGAAATTTCTTGCAATGTACAACATCTTCAATATTTAGGTCACATAATATTCAAACAGAACTTAAAGTTCAATATTTACTTATAATTTGTAAAATGAACTTAATGATCAAATAAGTGGCTAGTCTCATAGATGTTTTGTAAATGCACCACCGGCAACTAGTGAAGTCCGAGGTGGATTTCAGATGGTCTAAGCATGAGGGATTTGCTGAGGTGGTTGGAACAGCCTGGAAACTACCTGTGGAGCGTCCTGCTTTATACATCTTACGGGGCTGAATAAAAAATGTTAAGAAAGCCTTGGTCAATTGGAAGGGTAGTAAAGGTTCTAATGCTATGAATGTCATTAATAACTGTAAGGAGAACCTTAGTAGGCTTGAGGCTATGGATGGGAACAGAGACTGGGAGGAATGGACTTTCTTTAAGGATAAGTTGTATGAGACTTACTCACTTGAAGAAGAGTATTGGAGACAAAAATCTAGGGTTAACTGGATAAAGGAGGGTGATAAGAATAGTAGGTTTTTTCAAGCTAGTGTGAAACATAGAAGATCTATTAATAGTTTAAAAAACCTAGTGAAAAGTGAATGGATCAGATGTGCTAATAATCAAAAGACTGTGGATGAGTTGTATAGATATTTTGATAGTTTGTTCAAAACCTCTTATCCTCTAGTTGATAGATGCAATCTGGATTGGATCCCTTTATCCATTACAGATGATATGAATAAAGTTTTAACTAGGGAGGTTTTTGAGGTAGAGATTTAAACTGCTTTATGGGAAATGGATCAACACAAAGCTCCGGGTTATGATGGTATGTCCCCTGCCTTCTTTTAAACTTCTTGGCCTTCTATTAAAGATGAAATTTGTTCTGTTGTGAGAATTTTTTTTCAGAATGGTAAGATGCCTAAAAACATGAACCACACTGTCTTAACCCTCATCCCTAAAAAGAAAAATCCCTAATTGTCTCTGATCATAGACCAATCAGTTTATGCACTGTTATCTATAGACTCATTGCTAAGATTCTTGCTAATAAACTTAAGTCTGTATTGCATTGCTGCATTTCTCAATCCCAATCTGCTTTCATTCTTGGTAGACATATAGTTGATAATGTGGTTATTGCTAATGAGTGTATCCATTTTTTAAATAGCAAATGATCTAGCAAAGACAAATTCATGGCTATTAAACTTGATATGGGAAAAGCATATGACATAGTTGAATGAAATTTTCTTGCTAAAGTGTTGAAAAAAATGGGATTTTGTGATTTGTCTACCTCCTGAATTCTTGCATGTGTGTGCTCCTCTTCTTTTTCTTTTACTGTGCAAGGTTCAGTCATGGGTTTTGCGGTTCCTACTAGGGGATTGAGGCAAGAAGATCCTCTGTCTCCTTACCTCTTTGTCCTGGTATCTGAAGCTTTTTCCAATTTTATTAAACAAGTCTGTAGTCTTAAATTGTTCTCTGGTGTGAAAATTGGTAAGTATGCCCCAATTGTATCTCATTTGTTCTTTGCGTATGATTCTATTGTGTTTTGCAAAGCTGACCTTTATCATGCTCATACTATTCTTCAAATCCTAAGAGATTATGGTGATGCCTCTGATCAATTTGTTAACATTGATGAATCATCTATTTTTTTCTCCAAAAATGCCTATGTGGATCTTCAGAATGATATATGTAGTGTCTTGCATGGAATCTCTAGAGTGAAAACTTCCAACTACCTAAAGGGCTCCCTTTGGGTATTGGTAAACCCAAAAAAGAGATTTTCCAATTTGTCACTGATTATGTTGTCAATAGAGTGAGAGGGTGGAAGAATTGTTTTCTGAGTGTGGCAGGAAGAGAAACTCTGATTAGGTCTGTTTTGGAAGCTCTTCCCACATATGTTATGTCCTGTTTCACACTCCCTGTGTTTGTTTATCAAAATATTTGTAGGGAGATAGCCAAGTTTTGGTGGGGAGCTTCTGAGTCTGTGGGGAACAAGACTCACAAGTGTGGGTGGTATTTATTGTCTAAGCCTAAGGATAGGGGAGGGATGGGTTTTAGAAACTTTAAGATCTTTAATGACACTCTCATAACCAAGCAGTTGTGGAGGATCATTACAAAACCTAATGTTTTGGTGAGTAGGGTTCTTAAGGGCAAATATTTTTGTAACCAAAAATTTTTTTATGTTAGGCCTAAGGGTAGTGACTCATGGCTCTAGAAGAGCTGGCTCCAAGCTAGATCTTCTCTAAAGTTAGGAGTGAGATACCAGGTTGACAATGGAAGCTCCATTGATGCTGGGACTCTCCATGGCTACCCCACCCTAAGCATTCTCCTCTACTTTACAGTTTCTAGTGATAGAAAGAGAATCAGAAAAGTGAGTTATCTGTTTGTGCCTAATAAATGTGAGTGGAATGTGGAACTGGTCCAACTGACCTTTTCTCCTAAGGAGGCTGCATGTATTTTAAACATCCCCATAAGCAATGCTGGTGCTCATGACAGATTGTTGTGGCACTGGAACCCAAAAGGCCTTCTCATTGTCAATGAAGTGTACAGACATCTGCTCCAGCATCATTGCAACAATCTCATGACAACAACCTCACATATGATACTAAGAAGATGCAGGCTATGTGGGTCAAGACTTGGAAGCTTAAAGTGAAACCCAAAATCAAAAACTTCATATGAAGATGATGGTATGGTTTCTTTGTGAATTGTTGGAAGCTGTGTGGGTTGCAGTGTGAGCATTTTGATTGAAATAGGGTATCCTTTAAGGATTGGTGGTATGATTTGTGTTCTGGGGTATCTGATCACTATATGCAGGATAGAGTTAGCCTCTCAACCTACCTCCTGTGGTGGTAGTGGAGGACTAGAAATTCTTGATGTTCTCTAAAACCATAATTCTGACAAAGAGATAGTGGATGGTGCCATGAAGGAGTGGACAAAATTTAAACTCTCATCTTAGAATTCTGGGAGCAAAACTCACTATGGCTGTAATTTGGTGATGAACATCAGAATCCCACAGGCTAATGGAAGTGGGGTAGGACAGACTCTTGTATCTTTCAGTTTGCATATTTCCAGATGGATTTGTGGGGTTTGGAGTTGTGTTGGAATCAGAGGGGAAAGTCTTGTTCAAGTGGAAGGCCTGTTGTGAAAAAGTTCAATCAAATGATGAAGCCAACCTTAGAGCAATTAGATGAATGATGCAAAAGCTACAACAAACAGGGACTCTCATTTCCTTATGCTGCAGAGTGGATACAATTCTAATTGCGCAGCTGCTAAACAAGCAAAAGGAAGCAGATTGGGGAGTGAAGGTGCTTGTTACTGATATTGGGCTGCTAGCTGATAGATTTTCAAATTGTTCCTTCTTTTGTGATAAGTTCGCTTGCTCTTTTTTCTTTTTCTTTGACTCTGGAAGCCTTTCAGAGAGTCTAGTGTGGGCTTCTCGTAACTTGTAGTTGTTCAATTTGTATGGGGTGCTATATAGCTTGTATCTATTTGGATTATCGTTGTATGAACTATGTTCTTGAGTTTTAATATATTGTTTGTTTGATGTTGAAAAAAAAAAAGAACTAGTGAACAGGGGCGGAGCCACCCTAAGGCTAGGGTGGACTCCAGCCCCATGTAATTTTTTGCTAATGTTATTTTTGCTAGCCTTATTTTTTAAAAAAAAATTATACATAAACCCATTAGCCCCATGTAATTTTTTATGTAGCCCAATTTAATTTTAGGCTGAATGCCTCAAGAAAATCTTCAAGTTAAAATTTTTAATCTGACAACAATGGTGAAAAAAATAGTGAAGAAAAAATACAATTCTTTATTGTAAAATGATAACTATGACCTTATTAGATTTATCAATTGAATTTATAATGTGACCCAACACATTCTTGCCTTTTATATTTTTAATCGGTTGACTTGATAAATATCAAATTAGTTGGATAATTATGTTTGACACAGACTTTTCAAACGGGCTATTTAATTGGGTTCGTCTCAGTCCACAGTCGGTTATCTATTTTTATTTTTATTTTTATTTTTATTTTTTTTTTTGTTGATTTCGCCTCTAATAATTAACTAGACATCATTTCCTAGACAAAGAGAAACCTCGTACAGAGTTGATTGCAAACATGTTCGACTCTATTTGTTTGATCGACAAAATTCGATTAGCTATTTGAGTTTGGCTTGTTTAAATATAAAAGCGATTCGAGATTGAGTTTTTTCAATTCAAACGGACATATGTTAAATGATATTTTGTTTCTAATCATAACCAAAACTGATTACAGGTCGAAACCGTCGATATCGGGTCGAGAGTTGGAGGACCATGAACCGACGTGAACATATGTACGGGTCGGTTCATTGAACTGTCGGTTATTGGTCGGCCGGTTCATAAAAAAAAAAAGAAAAAATAACTAAAATAATATTTTTTTAAAAAAAGGCCGAACCTCGGATTCCGATTTCAATCCGGAACTGAAACTGTATGTTCAAAATGTATAAACTATAAGGTATTTTACATGAATCGAACTGGTCAAAACCACGGACCGGTTCAAGACCCATGGTCAACGGGCCAGTTTGTGTCGGTTCGGGCCGAACCGACAGGCTGAGTCGGCTCATGACCATGTCCAGAAGGTTCTAATAATAGCTACAATTATATGCAGCCCCAGGTTAAAAAATTTCCTGGCTACGCCCAAGTCCTATCAAAAAATAGTATTTCTGCAGATGCTCTACGTGTGAAGAGTTGGTACAAAAGAGAAAAAATCGCATAATATAACTATTGAGAGACTCCCGAAATATTATAGATGGGAAGCCTATTTTACAAGTACGTGCCTAAAAATAATGAAAAAATGGTTGACGTAAATAGTTTATTTAATCTTGGATTAAAAGACTCAATTGTATCCATGGTTGATGTACAGTAACCGTCCGCTACACCTTTCTTCCCTCTCTCAATCTTCAAATTCAGCTAAAATTCGCACAAGAGGACGATGAGCGAGCAAGAATTCCAAGACGAAGACACCATCTGCCGGTCCATGCACCACCTCAGCACCGCCGCTTCCCACCACCACCTCCACCAACCCACCGCTGCCGCCGCCTCTGAATTGCCGGAAGTATACACCACCACTAAACGACAGTATCCCCTTTCTCCTTCGTCCTTTCAGGAACCACTTCCGAAGAGGGCCAACCTCCACAACCCTTCATCTCCTTCCACCGGTGCTGGCCACGACCTCTCGGGATTCACGAGGCTCCCGCTCCCACACACATTCCCCGCCGCCGCCTCTCTATCTCCTCTCCGCCGTACGATCTCCGAGCCCATACGCTCCGACGTCATCAATCCTTCAGCTCCGCGGGCATTTCCTACTTTCCCAGGTCCGGTTTCCAGCCAGCCGCAAGAATACCCCAATCTAAACCCCATTCTTCAAGATTCGGTTCAGCTTCCAATTGCTGCGCCAGGTATCCATCGGACAGTTTCCGATCCCAGTCCCCTCTCCAATCACCCCGTGGTGGCCACCGGAAGCACGCCGCCGCTGTCACGTCGCCCCCCTCTGGCAAGAAATGCTCAAAGGTCTCCGAGCTGTGACGAGAGTCCTAGTACCAAAGTCGGTTTTCCCTGTTTCATTTTTCTTAAATTATTGCCGCACATAATTCTCTCTTATGATTTCTTGATTTGATTGTTACAAAAATGGCTGTTGTTGGTTCTGTATTTATATAATTGCAGAGGCTGAGGAGGATGAAGGAGCGCCTGAAAGAGATGAGCCAGTGGTGGAATCAAGTGGTGCATGAAGATGAGGGTGAGGATGATGAATCTGAAAATGACTTCATAGAGAACACTCAAAAGGTTGTCATTGCCTTTTAATTTTCGATCTTGTCGTGTGCGTGTCTGGGTACATCTTTTGTGTTAATTCTCTCTACAATACTCATAGTCCGTGCAAACTTAGGTATGGGAATCCATTGAAATGTGTCCTTATGTTTCCTTCCATATCACATTTCTTGGACAACTATTATTCCATATTATACAGTAGAGTCGATCTTTAATTTTTGTCAAACAGGCTTCGATTTTGTTTAATAATTTCAAGTGAACCGGATGATTTCTGAAATGATTTCAGATCAATTATGCTACTCAATCTTATTATGAAACTGATTCCTGTTTGTATACCTTTAAGAATCCCTCCACAAGATAGTTCGATTCAATTTCGAGAATATTATTTTGCATATATACTTTTTTCCTTAATTAATAAGTCCATTTGTATGATTTAAATTTATAGTGTACTTTAAGATGCTTGAGTGATAATACCCTGCCCAGCTTAGCTATGTCACATTGTTGCAACCCTTTTCAACAGTATTAGTTAGATTGAATCTCAAGAATACGGTTCCCCAAATATTTGTTCCTTGTTTGGTATAGGAGTTCATCAAAATATGTGCTAATATTTCTGGGCATGTGCTTGTTTCGTGAAGTTGATTATAACTTATGAATTGTATTGGAGTTTATTTCGGCCTTTCTTTAACAAGCAGGCTTTTTGTTTATGCATATTAAGTCGGTCAGAATCGTTCACCATAGAGTTTACTTAAGAATTCCTGTATCATACTCAGCAAGTATGTCATTTGATTGTATTCGAATTTCAACGGGTCCTGTGGCTGTTCTTGTTCGTATTAGGTTGAACCTCAACATCTATCTGTAGTTAACATTTTTAGTAGTTCACTAAATGTCCATTTGGAAGGTATTATGATTGGTACAAAGTGATTGGCATTATCAGTGGATGCCTAAATGATTATATGTTTACTATTCTGATGAAATTTACAGTGGATGCCTAAATGATCATATGTAACCTGTACTTTTCGAGAACTTTTATGTTAATGCCTTGTGCATGTTGTAAATTTATCTCCTGATGCAAATATTAATATTTGCAGGAAGAAGCAAAAGATGATGAAGTGGGAAATCCAACAAAAGAAGCTGTTTGGGTCGAGAAGAATGGAGAATGCTTGGTCCTCCATTTCAAGTGCCCGTGCGGTACCGTTTATCAGATTTTGCTCTCTGGGAATAACTGCTACTACAAACTGACTAATTTCTGAACTTCTATTTCCTGAATAATGTCGCACCCCACGGTCCTTTCATTACCCTCAAATAATCTTTACTTTTGAAAATTTTCAGTTCAAAGTACATAGCCCTTTTGTCTGCTGGCTATTTTCTTCTTATTAGAAGTCGGATTAGGTCTCATGAATACAACATTTGGCATGTATATAGTTGGTTTCTTTTACATTTGTGGGCAAAGAATCATGATGTGATAATCCCAAGACCTATGCTTTTCTGCCTTCTGATGGGTGATGAGCAGATTTAATAAGTTTCTGTTGTACAGTTTGATTTGGATCTGTTTCTTGGAGCTGACAGTTTTCTGAGTATGTGAATTCTGATCACAAGATTTCCAGTTTTGATTGTTGCAGAAGTTGAGATGATCTAGCATGCATTTCAATTTTGTGTTACATGTTGTCGTTTCAACTTATATGCACTGTGTGAGTGAAAAGCACATGCGTGCTTGATTCACATCAAGAGCTGCGAAAAAAAATAGAAAGACGATTATTGAAAAGAAACATAACTCGATTGCTCGAGTCTCCAAAGAATTCTCCAAATTTAGTGTTTGGAAATATAAGGAGAAGGTTTATTGGTTTTCTGAGAATCCAACTAAAAGTTGTCTTCTGCAGGGGAGTCTTGAAACATAATCAGCAAGTACTTGTTAAGTTTGCTCTATACATCACACAGAAGTTAATGGGTGAAATATAGGTAGTATTAGGAGTGGGATAATGGATGTCACGACATGATGAGCTGGATCATTGAACATGAATTATATAGAAAGAAATAATGCAATATGGCTCGTAATTGAACATTGCATGTAAGCCCGAGACTATTATTATTTGATTAATTAATATTCCAATTTTTTTAGTTATACTTATGTTCAGATAAATTGATGGCATGGGCATATGCTCGGTGGAGCTGCTGAACTGGTTAGACAAGTAGAATTTGTGATTTTTTGACTGCATATTTTTTGTTATAATCACTTTGAAACAATTAATTTTTCGATGCCTGTTGTTCCTAGTGTTGGACCTTTTTGTCCAACAATCAACACATATCTGGTGGTGTATTTTAATACAATCCAAAAGCTATGTAATCGTTTAAATAAACAAAAAACGAAAGTAGATACCAAATCAAGAAACACCACCACGTTTCCATTACTCTTTTCATCAACACTCTTTTAAATGAGAAGTATGTTGTCTACGTATGACACGAGAAATATCACCACGTTTCCGTCACTCTTCTTGTATATGCAGTGCTCATCCAGACTTTAGGTAAATCCATACAACTTGACAATCTCGTCAAAATGGATTTTCCATGATCGCGAAGCTTGCTTTAGCCCATAAATTGACTGCTTCAGCATACAAACAAGATGCTCTCGACCCTCTACAAATGAGACCCTCTGGTTGGTGGATATAGATGTACTCGTCCAATCTGGTTAAGGAAAACGGTCTTATCATCCATCTACCAGACCTCATAATCCATATGAACGCTGCAACCAAGAGAATCCTGATGGATTTGAGCATAGCTATATCGTTTCGCTCTTCCTGAGTATACCCCTTCGCAACAAGCCTAGCCTTAAGGGTATCAACCTTCCTATCCGGTCTTCTCTTTTTCTTATATACTCACTTGCATCCAATGGTACGAACTCCTTTGGGTGGCTCTACAAGATACCGTACCAGAATGAAGTTCATTAACTCCATCAGAACTCTCATCGCACCTTGTCAAGACTATGCGTCTCGATCTAAGAGCGCCTCATCATAGGTCCATGGGTCGATATCAAGACCATCTGAGACTGTGTCTGAAAACTCTCCCAATAATATGAATAGATCTTCCTGTCGAGCAACCCTCCCACTACGATGTGGTACTACCTGCTCAAGTGTATCGTAGGCGACACGTGTTACAATATTTTGTGGTGTAACATCTTGTGCACGCGGTATCAAAGTACCAACCGCTTTTGTCTCCTCAATGACATGTCTACTAGTGGGCTTGTGATCTATCACATAGACCTCTTCTAAGAACCGATCATTCGTGCTATTGATCACTCTCTCGTTCTCGGGACTATAGAACATACCTCATCTCATTTTCTTGAAATATCCTAAAAAATACCACCACGTTTCCGTCACTCTTCTTGTACACGCGGTGTTCATCCAAATATTAGGTAAATCCATACAACTTGACAATCTCGTCAAAATGGATTTTCCAAGACCGCGAAACTCGCTTTAGTCCATAATTAGACCGCTTCAGCATACAGACTTTTGTTATATTTTTACCGGAGTTAATTCAAAAGATTAAATCCCCGGGTCGTTTCTCGAGGAAGGTTAGCCTAATTAATTTACACAATTATTCAATCACACGAAAGAGAAAACAAATTCTAAACACTCTAATTCATTTGGTTGGGTTTTGACTTGCAACTAATGGTTCTCAAACAAGCAAGACAAATATCCAATTCCAAACGAATTCACGAAATGATAAAAGAGCTAGGGAGTCGGGGATAATCGTTTTGTTAATATAATTACCAGGCAATCAATTGCTCAGCTAAAAGATTTAAAAAGCCTACTCGTTTAGAGTTTTATTCTCAATAACTCTTCATAACAAGAGAATAAACGTGAACGGTCAACTATCAACTCAAATAACACATATACAAAACATTTACAAACATGTCTATTCTAAACGAGTCTTCGACCGACTTCTCCCCTTCCAGTTCTAAAAGTTGATTAACTAGGTTAGAATGGTGATCAATCAACTAACCCTAGAATTCACACAACTCGCATAGATTGAACAATTAAGGGACGTAATAAAAAACGAGTCGAAAAACAATCATCCCCAATCCCTAGCGAACGGAATTAGCCACTCATCTCAATTTCAACACAAATATTCACATCAAACAAAGCAATCATCATCATAACAAAATGAGCAGAAGTGCTTACGATTAATGTAAAATCCAACGTCGAAAACAAGGTGCAAACCGAATCCCAAAAGACAAAAATCTTAGAGTTTTCACTCCAAGATGGAATCCAAGTGAATCCAAAGAAAGAAATATGTTTATGCTAGAAAAAATTCGAAAGTACAATGTCTGGAATGTGTAAAAACTACCCTAAACTTGACCCTTTTGTTTTCCAATTTGAAATTCTGTGAAAATCACCGTTGTTTCAAAACAGGAGTTAGCGGCGCTAACCCTTTAGCGCCGCTAAGGGTGAAAAAGTTCAGGTTGCTAGGGTCGTTAGCCTGGTATAACGCCGCTACTTGTATTCTCCTAAGCAGCGCTAAGGCCTAGGCAACTCCAAAAGTTGATGTTCCGGGTTCGCGTGCTTTCGGTTAGTGTCTCTCGGGTCTTGCCTGAGCTGGGATCTCGATTCCCGCATGTTAGGTTGCACGAATTGGTGTGGAAGTCCTGAGAACCGGAATGGAGTACTTCTTCTCTCATCCAAACTTGAAACAACCACAATCGGACAAACACAAAAAAAGGGAGAAAACAGGAAGAAAAAAACAAAAAGAACACTAAACAGAACAAAATAATAATAAATATACGAGAAACGACAAGTAGGACCGAAAAACCATAAGAAACAACCTAAAATGGGAAAAGACACACAAAATACCAACAAAAATAAACAAAAATGGACAAACAACTCCCATACACTAAAACCTTTGGTTGTTACGGCATTGAGTCGCCGATAATCGATGCACATTCTCCAACCGGTAGTGATGCGGGTGGGGACCATCTCCTTCTTTTCATTCTCAATGATGTGATGCCCCATTTCATCGGCACCACATGGATGGGGCTGACCCACTCACTATCGGCCACCGGATAGATAAGCCCCTCGAAATAGAGCTTTAACACCTTCTTCTTCACCACTTCCATCTTGTTCGGGTCGAGCCGCCGCTGGCTATCTACAAATGGTTTGGCACCCTCCTCCAAAATGATCTGGTGCATGCACGTGCTGATTCCCTTAATGTCACCGAGGCTCCACCCAATGGCCTTCTGATTCTTCTTGAGTACATCAACTAGCTCCTTCTCTGCGTCCCAATTAATCTCGGCAAAGATGATGACCGACTTTTTCTTCTCGTCATAAAAAAAAGCATACTTGAGGTGTCGGGGAAATCCTTTCAATTCTATTGTTGGTGGGGTTATCGATCTGGGCTCTTCAGCTTCCAACAACTCAATAGATGGTCATTCTTCCTCGTCGAGATCAGGCATTGACCTCTCTTCTAAGTCTTGTACGGTCATCTCTTCCAAAAGCGGGTCACTCATATCATCAAATGCACGCTCCTCCACAAAGTTCACCGAAGATGCAGATGTGGCTTATCGAAGAGAGACAGATACAGACTCGCCTAAGACTGTCATACTGAAAGTCTCGTCCTTCATATTAATGAGAGTGTTGGTGGTGGTCATAAACGGTCTTCAAAGAAGGATAATGTGATTCTACTCATTCTCTTGTACGCCCCCCACATCTAACACAACAAAAACCCACCGGGACGATAAACTTCCCTACACGAACAAGAACATCTTCTACCACCCCCTTGGGGTATCGGATCAAGTGGTCTGCGAGCTGGAGGCACATACGAGTTGGTCTCAAATCCCCGAGTCCAAGCCGTTGAATAATTGAGAATGGCATGAGATTGATCCCCGCTCTGAGGTCAAGCATCCCTGAAGCCTCTTTTTCATTCTCGAGGGCTATTTTAATCACATAACCCCCAGGGTCTCGTTCTTTCTTGGGCAAATTGTGCTGCATAGCACTCTTCGCCGCGTAAACCACCACTTTCCCTCTGTCTACTAATCTTCTCTTCTTCGTCACCAAGTCCTTGAAGAACTTCACATAAGATGGCATGTTCTTGATAACATCTAGAAGGGTTGACATTGAACTTCGAGAGAATTTCGTAGAGGTCATGGAACTTCTTCTCTTGCCTCTCGTCTCGAAGTCGGCCCAGAACAGGTATGCATCGCTTGTATGAGTTCGGGGACTTCTGCAAAATTAAGCAGTCCATTAGTTTTCCCGACTCAGCC